ACTGAAAATGTACTCAACACGACTGACTTGTTCCTTTAAAATGATTAATTTGACGTTATGAGAATATCACCTCAATTTTAAAAAATAAAATAAAAGGAAGTAAGCTCATGCTGATTCTTCTGTCAAAACCACCCTTCTTATAGCCTTCTTGTTACTGTGACCTAATTTCTTTTCACATCCTCGAAGAGGCCTTCCCTGACTCCGGATCTAAAATAGTCCCCAGTCACTCGCATATCACCCTATGATATTTTATCTGTTTATAGCGCACATCATTATGTGGAATTATCTTGTTAACTTGTGTATGGATTTTTTTGATCTCTTACTAGAATGTGAGCCCCTTATGGGCAGGAGACTATGTGTGTTCCCATTTTCAGATGAGGAAACTGAAGCTCAGGATAGTTTAGAAACCTGGAGGTTGCCCTACCATCTGTCTGCTCTAGAACCCATGTTCCTGGCATCTCGGTCAGGCGTCTCAAACTCAAATATCTTTAGGGGCCAGGGTGGGAAAACAGATGTCCAAAGCTGCCAGGTGTCATGGCCTGGGAGCATCTGTGCACTCGAGGGCCTCTCAGGCAGACTTTTTTTTACCTTTTTTAAAAATTAATAAACTTTATTTTTTAGAGCAATTTTAGTTTCACAGCAAAACTGAGCAGAAGGTACAGAGATTTCCCATATACGACTGTTCCTCTCGCAATTGCCCCCACTATTGGAATCCCACATCACAGTGGTACATTGGGTACAATCGATGAACCTGCAATGACATGTCATCATCACCTGAAATCCATAGTTTGCAGTAGTGTTCACTCTTGGAGTTGTATCTTCTATGGGTTTGGACAAATGTATATTGACATATATCCAGCCTTACAGTATCATACAGAGTAGTTTCGCTGTCCTAAAAATTCCTTGTGCTCTGCCTGTTCATCCCTCTGCAACCCCCTCAGCTCTGATCTTTTTATTGTCTCCACAGTTTTGCCTTTTCCAGAATGTCACGGAGTTGGAATCATTCAGTATGCAGCCTTTTCGGATTAGCTTCTTTCACTTAGCGATATGTCTTTAAGGTTTCTCCATGTCTTTTCATTGCTGGAAAGCTCATTTCTTCTTAGTGATGAGTAAATATTCCATTGTCAAGATGTTCTATGGTTTCTTTACCCATTCACCTGCTGAAGGACATCTTGGTTGCTTTCGAGCTTTGGCAAATATGAACCAAGCTGCTAGCCACATCGTGTGTGGGTTTTTGTGTAGACCATAGCAAGTCGCCAAGTCCAGTCCCTCTCAAGGAGAGGGGAACTTAGCTCCACCCTTAAAGAGAGGAGTAGCAGAATTTATGGACACAGATTAAAAATATTTTGGGAGAGAAATACTGACACTATGCAAATGTTCTGTTTCTCTTTTAAAATTTGCCCCTTAAGTTTCCCATCGATCAGTGGATTCTGTGGGCAGCAATTATTACAGTGCTATTCTGTTAATTTTCTATTTTCATAATTCATTCTACATTTATTAATTGAAATTCTTCTCTTTTTAAATTGGTCATGTTTTTAAATCAGTATAAACTTGCAGTCATTTATTTTATTTTTTGGGTTATAATCCAAGACTATTGCTAGTCTTTTTGTTCAAATTATTCCCACTGTGGCCAGTTCTTATAGGCTGGCTCTTGTGTCCTTTTGGCTTTCTTTTAAAACTACTTTCTGTCATTGGAAATTGCTCCAAGATCATTTTGCATTTCCTTTGCCCCAGCCCTAAAATCAGCCATTTCTCCAAAGAGCCCTGGTTCTTCGTACTGGAAAATGGTATTTAGAAACCTAGATCTGTGCTCGCTTTGGCAGCACATACACTAGAAACTTAGATCTGGGCGATGAGAATACTTCTTGCTACTGGGGTGGTACTGCTTCTGGGGTCAGATAGAACTAGGAAATGTATGTGTGTCCTAACCCATGTATGCACACATAGCTATATTTATTTTCATACCTATCTCTTAAAAATAAACATGTCATACTGATAACCCCAGTCCAGCACCACATCACTTATTTGTAACTTCTTTCTCCAATAGCACAAAACCTGGCCATCAGTATCTATGGCATATGTACTTATTTGTTCAATATTATCACATAAGTAGATCCAAGATTGTTAACCTGTACCTCTTGAGAAACAAATTTACCAACTAGGGTACAGTGTTTCTGTACAGTTCAGACAGAGTTTTGAAGGGAAAACCTCTAAGCTAGGCAAACAAGCCTTTGGCTGCAAGCTGGAGTTGGCCCTCTAGACTCTAGTTTGAGAACCCCATGACTGCTCTGGTCACTGGTCATGAGAAAGCTGTCAGTTGGCACCTCCCTGCAGCCATATTTACCCCTCAGGACTAGTTGGAAGAGAGTGGGAACTCCTGCTACAGCCCCCTGGCTCTCTCAATGAGTGGGTGTCTGAGGGGACCTTGGGAGGCATTTTGCCCTTTTAGATGCACAGACATGGCTTAGTGAGAGTGGGTGAAGACCGGATGGGGTGGCCCCTGTGGTGAGGGCCTTGGCAGCAGAACCTGCCAGGCGAGTGTGCTGGCCCAGGCATGCATAGGCAGGTGGCTTGTAGCAGGAGCTCGGAGGCCAAGGGTGCCTATCCCCTGAGAAGAGACCAGGCTTTGCTGGGGTGGGGGTAGGGAGCTGGTGTATGGGGTCCTCAATGAGGCCTGAGCTGAGTCCCCTTCTAATATCTCCATGGGGATACAGCGGTGACTAAAGGTACCCAAGCTGACACTTACTGGGCTCTCATTGTATGCCCCTGCTCTGTTTCAATTGTTCCTTTGATCCTCAGCAACATCTCTCAGTGTGGACGCTGTTATCTCCATTTTACAGATTAGCCAACCAGGCTTAGGGGGGCATCAATTCAGCTGAATCTGGCTCCAGACTTCCAGCCCTTAACATTTACACAAGGCCTGGGCAGAGGGGCAGACAAGGTCCCTGCCTTCCTGGGGCTGGGGGTCTAAGGCACAGGCACACAATAGGCCAGGTGAATAAATAAACAATCAAGGTCATTTTGGATGGTGCCAACTGCCATATGAGATTGTAGAGGAGAGGGACAGATCAAGGAAGTCCTCTCTGAAGGAGGTGACCAGCTGGGAAGGGCTGGAAGAAGTGTGTTCCGTGTTCCAGGAAGACTGATCTCCAAGTGCCAAGGTCTGGAAGTATGTGAGGAACAAGGGGGAGGCCAGTGGGGCTGAAAGGGTGTGAGGCAGAGAGAGAATGGAGAAATATGAGAGCCTGTGCCAAGACTTGTGGGCCCTGATGAGGACTTGGGTATTGACTCAGAGAGACCTAAGGAGCCACTGGCGAGTTTGGAGGAGAAGGGTGTGATCTAATTTTTAAGAACTGTGGCTGCAGGTGTGGAATTGGGGTTAGGGATGGATGCAGCTGACATCTTGCCTGAGTCTTCAGAACCGGAGTCTATGAGAAACAGGCGCTGGGATGTGGGAGGTGGCAGGAGTGGGAGGTGCTGGGCCCAGAACGCATGGCAGGAAGAGCCTCCCACTTTTGTGTCCGGGCCACCAGAAGTGAGATTGCTGCCTGGGAAGTGAGAAGCAGCCACCCTCCCACTCTGGGGTGCGGCTTCCTCTTCGCAGAAGGGGATCATTTTATCGAGTGCCTACTGTGTGCCCCGCTGACTGCAATACCCCGCACGTGGCTTTGATTGGTCGGAGCAGGCGGAATCGGTTTTTTTCTCCCTGAGGAACAGCTAGACCAGGAGTCGCAGGCGTCCCCAAGGGACTACATGGGGCTGATACGCGGCCCGATTGTGCCTCTTGGTCGCTCCCCCAGAGGCACCCAAGCTTGATTCCCATTTCCAGCCTCCTGCTCATCGCCTCTGGGGCGCCCTCACCACACCCGCGGCCAGCAGAGACTGCAGCAGCCGGGGCAAAGGGCACTGTCTTGGGAAGGTCGTTATAGCTAAGCCCAACTCCCTTTCTGTGGCTGTGGCTGTGGCTGCTGGTCTGAGCGTGCAGGAGCTAGGCTCGGCACGGAAGCTCCTGGAAACTGGGGGTGGCGACGAGGGGCCAGCTGGGACTGGCCCGCTGGAGGAGCAAAGGCTGGGAGAGGCGTGGGAGAGTGAGACAGAAAGGCACATACAGAGACAGGGAGAAACAGATCCAGACTCGAAGAGACGTGATGAGAGAGACACAGAAAGTGTGGGAGACGCTCATTTCTTCCTTCCTTCATTCATTCACTCAGCGGATACTTATTGGGTATCGGCTGTGTCCCAGCAGTGCCTGTGGTAGACGCAAACCCCTGCCCCTGTGGGGCTGACAGTCTGGTGGGGACACAGCCCAGAAACACGATGAGTAAATTCCATCTTCGGGAGCCATAAGAGTGGGGGAGTTGGGGAATCAGAGGGGCACATGAGCTAGATTCTCCTTATGGGCAGGGGGAGCAGCGGAAGATCCCACCAGAATCCTGCCTAAGCCTGCCCTTCCCCTCTCGCCCAAAGAGAGTGGGGGGTTTGGCGGAGGGGGTGGGGAAGCGCATGGGAGCGGAGAAATGGGGAGGAGCCTGCTTCCCGTACCTATCTGCTGGGGGGAAAGGATTCAGGTTACCTTCATCCCTGCAGAAGACCCTCCTAACCCACGCTGCTGGGGTCCCTTCAACGACCTGGTGTCCTTAGGGTGCAGCCCAGGAGGCTTAGTTGGAATGTAAGTGGAAAATGGGGAGGGACCAGTACCCAGGATCCCTCTGCTGGGGGTGAAGGGAGAGGCTCAGGCAGCAGCCGCCCCCGCTAAGGACCGTCCCTTTCCAGCGCCTCCGGGTCCTCGCACTGTGATGGAGCGTCCCTGGGAGGGAAGTCCAGCCCCAGAGGGGGCACCCGAGGGCTCCCCGGTGCCAGTCGCCGCCGGGGCGCGCTCTGGTGCCGCGGCGGGTGGCACAGGCTGGCAGCCACGGGCTGGGTGCCGGGGTACAATGGGCGGAGCAGTTGCTTGCGACCACGGATGCTCTGCGTTGTGGGCCTGCTCCCTTCGCCTGCCGGCTCCAGCCCCGCCCCCAGAGCTGTGACCTTTTACTCGGCTCCAGGCTGCGCGACTACGCGGGGCGCACGACCAGGGTGCAGGGTGAGTATACAGCACTGGGTCCTTAGGAGGCGCGGGGCGCAGTCTAGCCTGGAGGGGTTGCCCTGGGGCCACTACCTGTGTCCTCTTGTTTGGAGTTCCTGGGCTTTCCCGGAGGCCTCTGGGAGGGGAAAGCGGGAGACTCTGGGCTGCCTGCGGGGAGCTGGCTCCGGGGTGGGGGAACACCCCCGGCCTCACCTCTCTGGGCTACGCCACTGCAAAGTTCTTTACCTCAGTCCTACTGCCAGACCAGCTGAGGCCAGGCGGGAGGTTCAGAGGCTGTGAGCCTGTGCATGATGTCCCCATCAGAACGAGTGTAACTCGTGTCTACGTGTGTTGACGGCCTTCTCCCTCCAGCGTGGCTGAGCCCCTTATTCTCTGAGGGTCTGGATTTGTTTCTGGTTCTCTGTGTGTAACTGAAGCCATGTCCAAATAAGTCCGTTCCCCTCCCCAGGCTTCAGTTTTCTCATCTGTTAAGTGGGACCTGAGCCATTTCTGCGTGAGTGCATGTGTGTGGGAACATGAAAACCTTTGTGCCTATTTCTCTGAGAGGTGCTTCTTTTCAGCCTTAGTTTCCTCTTTTGTAACTTGGGACTAAGGGGAGAGTTGTCCAAGGGATAAAAGGGCGCAGTCGCAAGTGGAAAGTATTATTATACTTTAATGACATATGTGCCCTTCTGCAGGAGACTGCGAGAGACTTCTGTCTGCTGCCTTAGGGTTCTGTCTCTGTGAAATGGGTGGATAGGCTTAGCTTTCTCACAGGGTTTTGGCAGAGAAAAGCCCGGTGTGCAGCAAGGCATATAGATTGTAGGGCTCAGGGCTCCAGGATGGGTGTGGGTGGAGGTTGTGAAATTGTGGCTTGTGCGACTGAGCGTCAGACCCTGTCTGCATGTGGATGAATTTGTGCCCCTGTATGTCTCTCTGCCTGTATTGCTTTGTCCATGGGCGAATATATTTTCGTGTTTTCCTGATGGGGTCTAACTTGTGTATTTTTGCCCTAGTTTGTGACTATGTGTGTAGATGTCACTGTATTTGTGTGTCCCTGTGTGTGGCTATATTTGCGTACGTTCTGTCTGTTTATTGTTGAGTATGCCTTTGACTATCCCTGCTTGTATATGAGTTATGAGTAACTCTCATATGTGTCACCCTGTCCCCTGATATTATTTCTGTGTCAGCCTGTCTCCATGGCCAGCCGCTTTCTATCCCGAACTCCCCCTGGTCGCCAGTGTGCATGTGGGGTAAAGAGCAGAGGATAAAGGTTCCTTTCCCGGTGCTGCGAAGAACGTGCCCGCCACCGCAGTCCGCGGGGACGGCGCGAGCCCAGCCTGACACCACATCCTGCCTCTCCGCAGCCTTGGGCGAGTGGCCCATGGAGCCAGGGCTGCTGAGGCCGGCGCCGGTGAGCGAAGTCATCGTCCTGCACTACAATTACACCGGCAAGCTCCGCGGTGCGCGCTACCAGCCCGGCGCCGGGCTCCGCGCCGACGCTGTGGTGTGCCTGGCCGTGTGCGCGCTCATTGTGCTGGAGAACTTGGCCGTGCTCTTCGTGCTCGGACGTCACCCGCGCTTCCATGCGCCCATGTTCCTGCTCCTGGGAAGCCTCGCACTGTCCGACCTGCTGGCCGGCGCTGCCTACGCCGCCAACATCCTGCTGTCAGGGCCTCTCACGCTGCGCCTTTCGCCCGCGCTCTGGTTCGCACGCGAGGGCGGCGTCTTTGTGGCGCTCGCCGCATCAGTGCTGAGCCTCCTTGCCGTCGCGCTGGAGCGCAGCCTCACCATGGCGCACCGGGGACCCGCACCAGCCTCCCGTCGCGGGCGCATACTGGCACTGGCGGCTGCAGTCTGGAGCATCTCGCTGTTCCTCGGGCTACTGCCCGCGCTGGGCTGGAATTGCCTGGGCCACCTGGACGCCTGCTCCACTATCCTGCCGCTCTACGCCAAAGCGTACGTGCTTTTCTGCGTGCTCGTCTTCCTCAGTATCCTGACTGCCATCTGTGCACTTTATGCACGTATCTACTGCCGGGTGCGCGCCAACTCCCGGCGCCTGAGAGCGCGCCCTGGGGTTGTTGGGGGCCCCTGCAGCGGGGCGCGCCGCACGCCGCGCTCGCTGCCGCTGTTGCGAACGCTCAGCCTAGTGCTTCTGGCCTTCATGGCGTGTTGGGTCCCCCTCTTCCTACTGCTCTTGCTCGACGTGGCTTGCCCGGCGCGTGCCTGTCCGGTGCTCCTGCAGGCGGACCCCTTCCTGGGCCTGGCCATGGCCAACTCACTTCTGAACCCCATCATCTACACGCTCACCAACCGCGACTTGCGCCACGCGCTCCTGTGCCTCATCTGCTGCGGCCGCCGCCCCTGGGGCCGAGGCCCCGGCGCCTCCCAGCGATCCGGGAGCGCTGCTGGGGCTTCGGACGGCTTGCACCCCTGGCTGCCTCCCGGCCTGGATGGCAGCACCAGCCGCTCTGAGCACTCGTCGCCCCAGCGGGACCAGCTGGAAACCAGCGGCTCCACTGGCGCGCCCACAGCCGCCGGGACCCTGGTACCCGCAACGGCCGCAGACTGACACTCTGACTTGCCACTACTCTCCCTAAGAGCTGTTTTGCAGACTTTTTATTTTTAAATAATGGAATTTATAGGAAGAGCAGCCGAAGATTGTGGAGGGAGAAGGTTTATTCACTTGTTCCCATGCTACAAAATTCATAAAGCACCAGTTCTCCTTCTCAGATGTGATCACTGTGGGGACTCCTGGGAAAATTCCAGAGCTATTCTATGAATAAATAAGCTGAAATGTAAATAACATCTCTTTTTATACAATTTTTATACGTGTATTTTATTGGCGCTAAATCCCACAACAGTGAACAAAACAGACAAAACCCGCTGCCCTTGCGGAACTGACGTTCTGGTGGGGACACGGGTAATAATGGAGTGAAGAAATACTGGAGAGAGTTCCAGTGGCAATACAGTGACGCGATGGTGGTCAGAGGAGGCCTCTCTGCCGAGGTGGTAACACGTGGTGTGAGCTGTCATTGTCCTGGGAACACCTGAAGAGAGATCATTTCCAGTGAGGTGCAAAGGCCCTGAAAATGAAATATGCCTATGTGTTCTATGAAAAGCAAGTTTACAGGTGTGGCTGGAGTAGCGGTGGAGGCGGCAGTGGGAAAAAACAAAGGCAGGAAGATGATAGGGCAGATCCATCACTCAGGGCCTTGTGGTCTCAGGGGAGGACTTTTACCCTAAGTGAGGTGGAAACCATGGAGGGTTCTTGACTTGGCTCAGATGTTAACAGATCTCTGTGTGAGGCAAAAGTGGAACCTAGAACAGGGTGAAGGTGACTGCACTGGTCCAGAGGAACAATGATGGCGACTCAGATCATGTGGATTCTGGATAGATTTTGGAAACAGTGGACAGAATTGCTGAGGAATTGAGTATGTGAGTCAAGGACAGCTCTCCAGGTTATAGGAGAGAACATCAAAGACAGGACACCCTAAACTTGACTCTGGGAGGCTCAGCCAATTCCTATCTGAAAGATTTCTTTGAGGGTAGTGTCAGACCTTTCATAAAAAATACAAATAAATAATAAGAACATTTACAGCTATTGTGCCTACTTAGTCATCCCACAGTGATAGGCCCAGGACACACGTTTTTCTCATCTTTACTGGTACCTTGCCAGGTGGGTTTCCTCACCTTCATTTGACAGATGAGGGAATTCTAAGCAGTGAATACCTTGCCCCAGTATCTGAGCCGGGCTGTCAGGCTCCCCACCCTCAGAGGCGCAGGCCTGGCTGGTGTCCAGCTCTTCCAGAGGGAGTCTGTATTCTCGGCGGGGGGCGATACCAGCGCCCCATTCTTTCCCATAAAAGGCTCGAGACGTGCTGGCCATGGTCCCCAGCTGTTCCCAGAGCACTGCTGACCCCTGTGCGGTGTGGCTCACCTCTGGCGGGGCGGGGCGCGGCGGGGAGAGTGCGAGGGGGTGCTTAGGCTGCGGCGCACCACCTGCCGGGAGAACGCGGAACTGCAGGCAGCCACTAAGACGTTTGCTTTGGGGGCACTGATCCAACCTGGGGAACTTGAATCTCCGCTAGCCACGCTCAGGCCGTCCCAACAGACCACGCGCATGAGAAATCAACCTATTTCTTGCAAAACAAACACGCTTAATCCTGGAGTCACGCCCAAGGACACTCCCCAGGACTGGACTCAATTCCCTACCAAGACTGGCACACTTAACCCCAGGTTCCTTTAATCTTTCAGAAGAGCCTGAAGCTTACTCCATTATTTGGTTGTTTGATGGTGTAATGGTAGATTTATTCACTTGCTCACATGCTACAAAATTCATAAAGCACCAGTTCCTCTTCTTAGATGTGATCACTGTGGGGATTCCTGGGAAAATTCCAGGGCTATTCTATGAATAAATAAGCTGAAATGTAAATAACATCTTTTTATACAATTTTAGCACTGCTCTACATCTTCTTTTGTTCACTTACTAGCATATCTTTGAAATTGTTGTCCATCCACAGATTTTGTATTGTTTGGCTGCCTTAGTCTGCTCAGGCTGCCATAACAAATACCATAGCCTGGGTTGCTGAAACAATTTATTTCTCACAGTTTTGCAGGCTGAAAGTCCAAGATGAGAGTGCCAGCATGATGGGGTGCTGGTGAGGACTCTCTTCCTGGCTTGCAGATGGTCGCTTTACCATTGTGTGCTCTCATAGTGTAGAGAAAGCAAGAAAAAGCTCTCTTGTGTCTTTTTATAAGGGCACTAATCTCATGGGGGCCCCACTCTCATGACCTCATCTAAACCTAATTAATTCATTCTATAGCCTTTTTTTTTAAAAAAAAAAAAACATATTTAAGTATCTAAGTAAATATTCATACAGCAAATGTCTTGTTCCTTTTCACCGACTGCATAGTATTTCCCAGCACGGATGTGCTACCACTTATTACATGGAGGGATATGTGGGTTGAGGCCCATCCCTTTATACACAGCACTGCAATATACATTCGTGTACGCGTGTGCGAGTGTACCTTGGATAAATCTCTACCAGCGGCACTGCTGGGTCACAGGGCCTGTAGCTTTGACTTTGGGATATGAGAGGTTGCCTGGAGGAGGGTGCGAGTTTTTCCACAGCCTCCGCCATTCCCTGTATTCGCTGGCTATGCTATAGCGTCCCCCACTGGAGGGGTCTAGAACCGCAGAGTCAAGCCACTGGGAAGGCAGTGGAAAGGGGGTACCCCACCCCATCATCCCATGCAGGTTTAATACCAGACCCGGTGCCGAGACATTGAATATGGGATCCTCCGAATTCACTCTGGAGGCCAGCAGAATCCTTTCTTAGCATTTCTATTATTCATTTAGTTTTCATATAGATGGACTCTTTTAAAAGTAGCCTTAAATACATTTATTTAAAAGTTAACTTTATATTACAAACAGCTTAAATAGCAAGTCAGTACTCCTTGCCATGAAAAATAGCAGTTGTTAACATCTGCTAGGCGCTAGCTAGCATTCGCATTTAGTGCGGCGGTAACCTAAGTGCGAGCACTATCACTTCAAAGGGAGGAAACTGAAGCTTGTCACAGGCCCACCCATACAGAGCTAGAGGGTAGCAGAGCCGGCGTTCGATCCCCTGCACGCGAGCTCCACACGCCTCTCCACTGGAGAAAACTAAAAAATAAAGACAAGGAAAGCCCAGCTAAACAGATAATTCTAGCTGGGTCCTGCAGCCGCCAGATCGTGAGGCCTGCATTAAAAGGAGAAAAGCAGGTGGCGGAGAGCATCCCCGCGCTGAGAAGACGAAATAGGGCGTATAGAAGGGTCAGTGCGAAGGAGTAACGCGCCGGGCTCTCCTGGCCTTGCTACCTCGCCCGATGCCCCGCTCCTCGCCCATGGGCGCCGGGCACCTGCGGGAAGGGCGGGGGAATCGCGGCTCCTTTCCCGCCGCGCCTTCTCCCCGCCTCCTTCCCGGGCGTCCCAAGGCCTTCCCCAACCCGACGGCCGCGACCCCGCAGGCCTTGACGCATGGGAGCCGAGGTCCCCCGAAGGCGGAGGCGCCCCTGGGTCTCCCACAGCGAAGGTTAGGCTGGAGCCGTCCCGGGCCAGGCTGTGGCCCCTTGGGTTTCCCGGAAGCTCGGCGCGCGGGTGGCACCACAAGTGCCCGGATCCGCCGCCGTGTCCCGGGCATCCCTGGCCCGCAGCAAGAGCTACCGAGGCTACGTGGGGGCCGAGGTGAGCGCGCCAGCAGCGGCGGCGGGGAGGGGTGTTCGCGTCGCGAGGGCTGTGGTCCCTGCCCACGCCGCGCCGCGATGACCGACGCTGTTGTCGCCGCTCAGGGGTTGCGCAGCTTGGCGACAGCCGGCGGGGTGGGAGAGCGGGGAGCGTGCCAACCCAGCCGCCGGAGGCCCGGGGCCGTGGGGACTTTTATTCTGACACGGCCGGCGCCCGGCTCTGCTTAGTCATGGTGACCTGCGCGCGCTCCGCGCCTCCCCCCGCGCGCAGCGATGGAGGCGCCGCGGCCTGGGGGAGGGAGGCGGAGCCCGA